AAGGCGGGACAAGAGTTGTCACGCGCAAATCGGCAGATCAATGCTGCGAGAGCGGACCATGTCCATGCCCGCGCAGGGTTCTCGATGGTGACCAATGCGTTGACTTTCCAAGCAGCAAACAATGCCCGCACGCAAGTGCCATACACAGCGTTGGCGGCCTCGACCCGGAGACGTTCATGAGGTTTAAGATCAGGTAAACCCAAAGGGAACTTGGCCGATCGAAGCGGTCGAGGCTGTGGCACGCCCTGCGCCCGCAACGCAGAGCTGATTGGCAGCTGACGAGCGCGACTTCCAGTGCCACACGGCAGTCCAAAATGAAGCCAAAGGGGCCTGAGCTGATGAATCATATCGTCAATCAAGCGGTGCGAAGAAAGTGCGCCCAAATCGATGGGCAAGCACGACACTTTGGGCTCAAAACGGTTTCCATGATGATCAATAGGAAAAACCTGCCATCCTTGAGAGGCGGCAGCATACGAAAGAGAGGCCGAGCCACAACACAGCTCGACGAAAATTGCAAAGGGAGCGGCATCAGTAGTCGGCAGGCCTGAGCGGCCTAGTCAAGAGTGACGGCACTCGCAGTACGGCACTCCCTTCTTGAGGCAGTCCTTATGCCAGCAATTGTGCAAGCCGCGGTCGCATCGGGCTTTGGACTGATCAGGGCACTTGCCGTGTTGAAACAACACGCATAAGAACTGGCGAGTCTTGGGCATGCGCGAGACACAGTCCTTAGGCATCTCCTTCAGCAGCTGCAGGATCTCGGCACGCTTGGGGTCCACCTGAGCATCATCCCACTTGCGCTTCTGACCGCCTTTGTCGCCACGACCTTTGCCGCGACCACCACGGCCTTTTCCTTCGCGCTCACCTTTGCCATCGGCCTTGCCACCGCGATCGCCCTTTTCGCCTTTGCCTCCACCGGTGGCCTGCGGAAGGTTGGCCAAGCAAACATTGACACGAGTATGGGTCTGCAGGCGCTCGATGAAGACATCCAGGGGGGGTTTGACGCCCCCGACGACCTTAATGGAGCCACGACTTTCCTGAGCAAGAATCTGCCACAGCTCGCGGTCAGCGTTCAAAGCCTGGGCAATGCTGGTGAACTTGTGACCCGGTGGCGGGTCACGAGTCACTGAGTCAAACAGGTAAGTGTGCCACGCCTCCTGGGCAGCAAAGGACATGAGGCCAATTTGGTCGAAGGCCAGCGCCCGTCGGGTGAAGGCCTCTCGAAGCCGAAGTTCTCCTCGAACGTCGCATTCCAGGTCGGAGTGTTTCTTCGATATCTTCAAGCCACCTTGAGCATCAAGTGTAACTTGTTGAGAAGGTTTGTCGCTGGAAATTTCCAACGCTCTCGATGGGCACTTATGCGGCGGCAGGTAGGTGAGCGTCCCGGAATCGACCATGGATTGGATCTTGTCGATGAGGCTGTGCGCCGGTTCCACCCGTTCGGTGAACACTATCCCGGTTAGCCGAGTCTTTTGGTTCTGTAGGCGAGTCAAGCGCTCGGCCAAAGGAAGCTCTCGAGGCGGGTCAAGAGAAGAACGTTCCACCCGTGACTTGAGATCAGACAAGGCAAACGTGTTGGCCTCGAACCACAATCGTCGAAGATCAGGAAGCTCGCCCGGGGTGAGGTCACGAGACAAGAGCTTCTGTACCGCCTGAATGAGAGGGGTGTCATCGCCACTTTGCGGGCTGACAGCACAGATGTACGCCAGCTTTCCAAAGGTTTTGATCCCTGCGGCCTGAAGCGACTTGACGAAACCATCATCCATACCGATTTCTCGGGCTCTGGCCAGGAACTCGGCTTCCGACTCAAGCAGAGTGGAAGTCATGGCGTCCGTCCAAGGATCAGGCTTGAACAAAAACGTGTCACTCCAGGCGAAAGCTCACGACGGAGGCAACAAGCATGGCTAAAACACAGATGCGCTGCATCGATGTTTGCGTCTCTGCTCGACCTTTCCGTGTCTAATCCCCCAGGACTCGCGCCAATCTGCACTGTTCGCAGAAGATGTCCTCGCGCGGCTGCTGGGGGTCGAAATTGCACGCATCATAGTTGCTGTTCAAGGGTCTCCCGCATCTCAACAGTGAGGCTGGGACCATGACAGCGTGCACAATGGATGAGATCCGATGTCGGACGAAGGTGCCCGTCTCTGGCGGCTCAGGGCGATCAGACATCCCTGGCACCAGGCTGGGGCGCTCATCGATGCCGACGTGGTCTGCAAATGACACATCTGACTGTTCAGAATCATCAAACCTTTTCAGGTCTTCGACCCGACGATCCTCATCGTGGAATCGTTCCACAAGGTTCGCCATCCTTTCAGACCGGGACAGGTCTGGATCAAACCTGTCCGTACGGATTAGGTCAATCAAATGCTGGAGCTTCGACAAGACTGGGGCCATCACGTCTCTCCCGTAAGTGATGATCATCCGCTCGTCGGGGGCGGAGTGGTGCCCCAGAATGCGCTTTTCATGCTTATCAAATCGACCGCTCTTTGTGGCCCATGACAACGGAGTGGATTTCAAGGCATGGGTCGTGACTCTGTCGAGGTTCCAAGATTCATCGGCATCGACTGCGAGAATCTCTTGAAGCCACGCACACCCTTCCGCTGAAGTCATGGGCCTATCCAACCACATCTCGGCTTGCTCCGACCACGCTGGCATAAGGATGTTCTTGACGTCAGCTCCTGATCGGGTTCGTGCTGACATCCATGCTGAGGCCCACGGCTCCGTAGAGAAGGTGTGCCCAAGGGCAATGAGGGGCATGAAAGTGGCCCGATCGTCTGCAAGCTTGGCTGTTTTGTGACCTAACATAACAGCCTCCACAAGACACATAGCTCCGTGGCTCTCGATGGTGAGATCGGTAGCCTTGGCCGCATCGGACCATCGGGCAACCGAGAACAAGCAGAACAGTGCGAACCCCGCTATGGTAGCGTGTAAGTCCGACCCCTCGAAGACAATCACCTCCATTCTCATAACAATGGGAACCTTCAGAGGCGGCGCCTGTCTCAATGGAGCCTTCTTGAGATAGCAGGAGTGCGCGGCACCCTCAATTCGCTGCGAAATGATGTCAGGGGCAGCGTTGCTGCCGGTCATGTAGTAAAAGAACCTCCATGACGAAATGAATGCAGCGGGCGCCGTGGGAGCACACTCAGCGTCTCGCAGATAACAAACATAGAGGTACAGGTCATTCTCAACAGCATTCAAAGGTCTAGCATGATTGTCCTGGACCTGCCAACGGGAGAACCTCAAGTAGTCACATGACCTCTTGGAAAGAGTACTCGTAGACTTCCTGGCAAAGGCATCCATGAAGGTCATGGCAAGTTGGTGTTCAGGAACAAGCATTCCACTGGTCTCTAACAATGACCGCCCCAGCTTAGAGTCATTGGGGTCGTACAGGACGATCTCCTTAATCCGGGCCAGCGCAGCCGAACGAAGCTGATCCTCCGACCTCGCCATCCTCGTGGCGAAAAGTCGTCTGGCTCTAAAGGGGTTTTCTTTGTACCAATTTGGAGCGGAACCTGAAGACGAAGACACCGCAATCTGAGCAAACATGTCTGATCGCCCAATCGTGGGGAGATGGAATGGGATGGCCACGAGAGGATTCCCGACGCTCCCAAAAATTGATTTGCCAAAACCCGACTCCCAAGGGAGTCTGATCGAAGATTTCCTCTTCTCCTCAAAGAGAGCCTGTGCCACTGCCGGGTGCACAGGTGCAGGATCTTTCCAAGCGGTCCTCCTACACTTGCTCGCACTTGGCTGGCACGGCTCAGCCGAATCGTCGACCCTTGCATCCTGATACCAACGAGCCTCATCTGATGCCACCGGCTCCACATGCGACCATGACTCATCTCTCTCACCCTCTCCAAAATTAGACCCTACACCAAAGTCAGAGTTCCACGGTGAGCTCACATGATCCTTGCGATCGGAGTCGTCCTGATCGAACGGTTCCTCGTCATGGCCAAAGCCCTGTGAAGCATCAGGTCTACCAAACATGGCTGTGCTCGGACAAAACTGCTAATCTGTGTCAGTTGCAACAGGCAGCAGTCGGAGTCATCGCAGCATGTCCGAACATGGAGAGCACAAGGATCACTCGGGACAATCTTGTTTTATATCGCTGGTTTGCCAGAAGATTCGCGGTCCTTCTTGGCCTTTCCTGTCCCCCGCATACAGTCAAGAAGACCGCGCAGAGGAGCAAAGCGCGGGGAAGGACTAAACCACAAAGAAGCCAGGGGACCGGGAAACAGAGGGGCATCCGGCACCTGAGGGCGTAACCTAAAGAAGCGCCTCAGACGAATATGAGTGGTGCGCGCGGCCGCCAGCAGTGCACTCCAGGCCTGCATGTCCAGGTACACCAGGGCCCAAGCGAAGCGGTAGCTGGCAGTGAAGGAGACCAGATGTCCTCGCACGATAGCATTCCAGAAAGGTCGACGACAAGCTGCAAAGCGTCGCAAGCGGACAATGTGGAAGAAGTAGGGGCGCACTCGCACAATGACAAATGCAGTCGGATCCCCAGAGCTGTCAGAAGGCAAAGAAGAACCCGAACCGGAACTCGAAGTGGAGTCATATGAAGATCCCCGAAGGCTGGAATCAGCCCGAGGCCGCGGCACATCCATCGGAGGCTAATCGCAAAAGGACGGCGCAGTTCTACAGAAAGCATGACACTGCTTGGTTTCATGAACGTAACAGGACATGAATGTGAGAAATCTACCCCGACTCCGCGTCTCAGCCGAAGGCCGGCACGGGCAAGATAGACTTCGCAGACCGTAAGGGTTGGGCTAGGGGCTGCAAGCAGAACAAGGCATCCGCATGAAGCTGAGACGGCTCTTGTCTGATCTTTTGCGACTCCCATGGCACAACTCGATCATGCGCAGCAAGTAGCCCTAGAGGCTGGGCTGCAAGGCGGTAAAGTAATTGCACTGCGCAAAACGATGTCAAAATTAAGGTGTGGAGAAACCTTCTAGGACACCACACCAAAGCGAAGAGGGCTATGCAAGCGGCGCAAGCAGCGGTCACTCAGTGGACTTCAGATCAGAGACCTCGCGACGAAGATCCTGAACTTCAGCACGGAGGTTCTCGTTGGCCTTCTCGAGCATCTGGACCTGGAACTGAAGGCTAGCGAGGTCCTCAGCCATAGCAGAAAACTTCCGGCCCCACTCCACCTGCAAAGCCTGCAAATCGGCAATGGTAAGCGGCGGCCACGGAGAAGCCGGAGCAGCAGAGGGCTCTTCTTCCACCAGGACCTCCACTTTCTCTGACGAATCCTCGGAAGCAAAAGGCCAGTCCTCATCATCAGCAAAACCTGAGCCAGGCCATTCCTCATCAGAAGCTGAGCGAGACATGGTTCACGCAGGCGAACGAGGGGAAGCCAGTAGCCGGCGGAGCCTCTGCAGCAGGTTTTCCAGAAAAGAAAGGCGACGCGCAGTACGAGTATTCTGGAACTGAAGGCGGCCGAGAGTATCGCTCGTATTTCCAGAATTGTCTTCCAGAGAGCGCACCCTCTCCTCCAGGTGCAAAACTCGATGCCGTAAGAGCTCGTGCGCCCTGATCAGATCCTGGACGGCTTCCGCAGTGGAGCTGCTGCAGCTCGCAGCACCGCTCTCAGAGCACGCGGGCGAGTCCATGCACCGGCCGCCGCCCCTCGCTAAAAATCTCAAGCTTGATGCCTGACTTCGGATGTAGTCGCTTCACACAATTCCATGCGTGCATGAAAGTGCAAAGCATGTAAATTGAAAAAGGTCGAAACACAAATGAAATATCTCAAACTGTGTGACGACAAATTGAAGAAATGTTTTCTCGAGCTACCGCGAGGTGAAACATACAGTTCAGGGTTCGCTACGCGCCTACGCCCCACACAACAGACAGAAGTATCCGCACGCAGACACTAGACTCAACTTTGCGTGTTGCACAAACCGGAAACCTTCAGGAGGCTCTGGTAGGCGCGGGACGAACTGAGGCATCCTGGGTCCTGGGCTCTCCTCTTCAGAGCTTGAGCTTGCATCAGAATCTGAGCTTGTGGTGCCCTCGACAGACGATTTTGAGCTTGATTTACGGCTCGAATCTCCATCATCGGCCTCTGACACATCTCCCTCGCACTCATGGGACTCAGAAGCGGGCTCGGCGTGCTGTGATGGAGAAGGCTCAAACGAACTCCACGACACGACCTCGTCTTTGGGCCGGGCAGGAAGAGGCCCTGCGGTCTTCAAAGGCAGTGGCGAAACTCTCGGGACTTCATGGCCCAGCTCCTGTGCAAGCTCTGAAGTCTCAGCACTGACGATTAGCCTGCCAGCACGGTTGGCATCCGGAATGAAGACGCCCATACTGATCTCTCTGATGACACCTTGAAGCAACCTTAACGGGCGAGCAAGGGCATCCCTCGCATAGGTATCGGCACTCTTCGCTCCATGGGAGTGCCCTCCCAGCGCAAGTCTGTCAAGATGGCTCATGCCCCTTTTTGCACAATAACTCAAGAACGTTGCCTTCAGAGAGTGCGAGGTTGTTCTCATGTCCAGCCTCGTCGGCAAGAGAGCCCTGAGCCAGGCACCACACTCGTCACTGCCCAGAGCCCTGACAGTAGGCTCACCCAGATGATTGGGTGCAGGCATGGTCGGGTGGCCCTGCGACCAGGCACAGCCTACCTCCGCACGTGCAGCGAGCCACTTCAGGGCCCAGTCACCTTCATAGATTCCTTGCGCCGGTGCAATGATTTCAAGAACACGGGGCTGCTGACCCTGCAGGTTCATTGTTTTGTGAATGTCGATGACACCTCCTACGTATGCAAGGGGAGAATCAGGGCCCTCTTCATATTCAAGTTCGATATCATCCAAGTGCGAGTCAGACCATCGGCAACGGCCGTACGCGCAAAACAGCGCGCTGCCTGCGAAGCAACGGTCCCAGGGGTCTGGCGCCTCATCCAACACCCTATGAAGCTCCTTGAGGTCCTTGACCCGCAGGGGGTCAGCCTGTCTTGCAGGAGTTGCAACCCTGGCAACAGTGACACCCCAACATCTTTTGCTGACACTGACTAGATGAAGGCTCCTGATTTCGAAGACATGTCGCGAGAAGGTAATGGCTTCCATGAACCCCCGCAGCTGGGATAATGGGGCCCCTCCCGACTTGGCATCGGTCAAAATGATATAGATCTCGCCTTCGGAAGCAGGCATGACAATGTTTGCGGCTCCGGCCAACTTCGTGAGTTTGATCAGCGAGTTTGCTCTTTTCAAGGCAGTTGATGGCGCTTTGCGTGCAATGCTGTGATCGATGACGTTCCTCTGCTCAAGCTCCGACAATTGTGCAAAGCCATCCAGCGACTCATCCCTATTAGAATCCCAAGACCCAAACAGAGCAACCCATTTCACAATGGCCGTTTCAAAGGAGGCCTCACGAGCATCCCTCCAAGAAATCACCTGTCGCTGAACCACAACTTTCTGGAAGACTGCTGCGAACTCTCGACGTGCTTTCTTTGAAGATTGCGACTGACCCAGCTCAACAGGCTCTGACGAAGGCAAGTGATAAGGGTCTGGCCGCCTGTCCTTGAATCTCGGCATGATGGTTTCCGGCACTGAGGCAGGACCGAAGAAATCGGACCAAAACCCCTGCTCCCAAAAGAACTTCGGTGTGGCATCTTGCAAGCTCAGGTGGGAGCTCCGTAGACGAGCAGCATACTCCCTAGATGACAAGACGGCGGTCGCTGCAACACTCGGAACACCACTATCCTTGGCAACTATTGCTGGCTCCACGACGCTGCTTGCAGAGACGTGGTCATCAAGAGAAACTTCAGCGAACCACTCGTCTAAGGAAGCTGCATGCAAATCGCTCGATGAAGGCCCTGCTGGGACGATTTCCTGAGGCATCCCTGATTCAGGCAGGTCGGACACACTTGACTGGCCGTCGCCCCAATCAACCTCAAGATCAGAGAAAGGCTTGCTCCTGGCACCTTGAGGCTCTGGACTATTTGCCATGGCCCCCCCCTACCGTGTGCTCGGAGCACCTTCTCTACGCTACACTACACCCCCATGCACAAAACACACATTGGTGAATGTACACAAGGGTTTGCCGCCCTCCCTCCCTTGAAGAGGGAAATGTTTCAGCACAACAAGTGTTCGCAAAGGCAACACATTGACGTGACTGAAAACAAACATGCTTGGTTTTAAAACAAAAGTTTCAAAACCATTTTCGAACGGAAAATAAAGGGTTCGTCCCTTCGAGACCCAACCATATTGAAACTTTTGTCCCTAGACGTACGAGACCAGACGTGCCCTCCAGGGTGGGGGGTTCGTCGAGCAAGGCCTGCAACCTCTGCCTCTTGTTGGGCGAGGGAGATGCGGAGGCGTCAAGTGCGGAGAGAAGACGGTTCTTCCGCGGGACAAAATCCTCCTTCTCCGCCCGGGCAGGAATCGCAGCGCCGCGGCGTCCTGGGTACTCACAGAGGAGAGAGGTAACTCTGTCGACCTCTCGTTGAGCAGCCAGGCGGTGAGGAGTTTGAACCTCCTCGGCTCGTTCCCCTGCGAGCTTGTCGGCAAGGGCATTCAGCTCGTGGCGCCACAAGGCATCCGCTCCGAATTCCATACAGAAATCCGGAGCACTAAAGGTGGGAGCCCAGTGTGGATCGACCCTGTGCCTGTGGTCCCACGCCTTGGACCACACAAGCGGGGTACGCTTGGTGAAGGTGCCTTGGAGGCTGCGGATGGCGGGGCGGCAGTCGCAAGTGAGGTCAAAGGTGCCGCGGGTGGAGAGGAGAGCTTGGGCAATTGCCTCGCTCTCTCCCTCCGGCACGGTGGCCGGCGCTGGCAAAAGCCCTGTCATAGTGCCGAGGATATTGAGGGCGTCCTGGTGCCGGCTGGCCACCACGATGGCCCAGCCGACCGAGCGAAGGCGACTGTCCCTCGTAGCTGGTCCGCCTGACGCGTCCGTAGCCACGAAGAGCCCTGTCAAGTCAGGAGTGCCCTGGAGGAAGAGGCCGGTGCGGCGAACCTCAGCCTCGTGGGCGAGGGGAGCGCGGGGCGCGAGGGGTCTCATCCCACGCAGCCAAAGGCACTCATCGGGGTGGCGGCGCCTAAAGGAGAGCAACCAGCCAGAAGGCATGAGGGCGCCGGGCACACGCTCACACTCATAAAGGAGGTGGCGGAGTGTGTTGGGCTGCCCACAGAATTTGCACTGGTCCTTCCCGCCATTGCCTTATGGTTTTTTTATGGTTTTGATATGGTTTATTTATGCTTGAAATATGAATTCATAAAAAAACCATAAATAAATCATATTTTACAATTTATTTATGGTTTCTACTATGGGATTATTATGGTTTGGCTAAATTCCTGGTTTATGGTTTATTTATGATTTATTTATAGCTTTGGTTACACTTTTTTGTGTGTGTCTTTACCAAAGTTTTGGATTTGCACCTCTGATATACTTAATGGCTTTCATCCATTGGCACTGGACAGGAAATCAAGCAAATATACACTGATATTAGCACCGCTACGGGCATCTCTCGGGGTTTTCATTTCACTTCGGATAACTCCTGAGGGCAGGGTTCTGTGAAACGTCAACGACGATGTCACTGATGGCCGCACATATTTTTTCTTGTGACCCTGCTTCTGCTGCAGGCGGAGCTCTTGTGTCTTGTCAGCCACGATCAGATTCAGGTATGCTTTGATTCTTGTCGTTAGTCGCAGGCCTTTGATCTTCAACGTCAAACGGTCGAAAGGATTGTATCTTGTCGAAACGCCAAGCTTGCGCCGCCATTCAGCAATCTGCACTCTCCACGGTTTGTCGTCCACTTCGTCCAGCTTCACAGCAGCAGATGGCTTTCGAGCCTGCGCCGTTTTGGTTTCTAATTTCAAAGTCCAAGCCCAGGCAGGCACGAGATAACCTTGTATCGTGGACTGGCTGGGTTGAAGGCTCGGCTCGGGCTAGGGGCTGGGCTGGGTTGGGTGGAGGGGTCGGTCTTGGAGCCTGGGCCGGGCCTGGTGGGGGCCGGTTGGGAGGGCTGGGAGGGTACCCAGGGTCAGAGGGTGTAGGGGTCATAAAAAAATCATAAATTTTCCATAAAAAAAAATCATAAATTTTCCCATAGTGAAACCATAAATTTTCTATAAATTACAGTAGGAAACCACGAAAACAGTAAAAAAAACAATGGCCGGAACCCACCCTCCCCCATCCCCTTGACCCCCCTCCTGCTCCCCTCAGTTTCCCCTCCCCTCCCTCCCCCCCTCCTTTCCAAACGCCAGTCCCCAGCCCAGAACCAGCCCAGTTACCTCTGCAGGCCCAGCCCATCCACGGCCCAGCTGCGAGTCTAGCTGAGGCTTGTCTCAAGTCTGAAGAGTTGCCTGGAGCCTCGAATTTTGGGTAGGAGTCAATTCAGCTGCAATCCACAATGAAGTGCCTGAAACCTCCGAAACTCCAAGTTCTGACATGTGCTATTGTCTATGCATATGCTGTAGCCTAACCATTGCTGCATGCATTGACAACTTGACACCATCTGCAAAATGTATTCATGAGAAATCTGTCGGTGTACCCCAGTACACCGATCGAAAATGGGCACGGCTTGGACCAAAAACCGTCATGGTAGAAACGCTTGGCCGATGCAAAGCACACCTGACTAGCAGCGATTAGCAGCCATCGGCACGTGTCTCAGGCGGAGGCAAACAATCGGAATGTTGCGACGAGGATGTCTTTCGTGTTCCCAATAGACACGCCACTTCTGAAACCAGTCGAGTTTCCCGACAAGAGACATAAACAAACCATACATGTGTAGCATGCATGTGAGTAATGGCAATACACCATAAGACTTTGTTGGTAATCACTCATTAAATCAATATATATTCAATATAAAAAATCCATAAAAATTTCCATAAATGCCAAAAAACAACATTCATAGTCAAATCATGAATAAATCATAAAATAAAATTATTGGCCTGGATGGGGGCTGTAGTAGGGTTTGCTGATCATAATGCCAGAGGAAGCGCCTGCGGCGGTGGAGACGGCACCGATGCGAGCCCAGCGCTCAAGCTGGATGACCTGGCGGAGGAAGGCGGAGGCTTCGAAAACCGCACCCGGCTCTTGAAAGCGGAAGTGGAAGGTGACCTCTCGATGGGTCCAGGTGTCAGGGGTGGGAGCCGAAACCTGCAAATCCAGAAAATACTGGATGAGGGCAGACACGGGCCCATTGACAATCTTCCACCCATGCGTGGCGGAGGCTTGCCTTGCCCACGAGAAAGACCACGTGCGACGGAGCAGGCTGACGCCTTCCGGGGAGGCGGTAGAGGCCAGGCGCCCTAACGCTGCTCGACAACAACGAGCTGGTGGGGGTCGACGGCCTTGTGGGACATGAGGTCGAGGATAGTGTCAGCTGCCCGGAGAAACTTGAGGCGTTTGGGGGCGACCCCCATAGCCTGGTGGCCGTAAAGGCCGGCTTTAAGGGCAGAGGCCTGGAGCAAGCGGCCGCGGACCCACCTGCGGCGGATGTGGAGGCGCCGCATGCGCCGGTGCGGAAACGTTTTGCGCGGTGGTGATGCGCCGTCGCCTGCCGGCGGCGCAGTCAAGCCCGAGGTCCTTAACGAGGTCAGCGGTTTCTGGCTCGCCCGGCCGACGGAGCTGGTTAAGGGCAGCGCGGGCACGCACCGTACCAGCAACAAACTTAGTCTTAGTTGTTTCGACCTCCAGGCCTTCGAGGCCGAGGGAAGAGTGAAGGACCCGGTAGGCCTGGAGGGCAGCAGAGGCAACCACAACCGGGTCAGGACCGACAACGTCCAGACTCACGTCATCCAACCAGAGGTCGGTGTTTGTGACGGAGGGGAGGGCGGCAACCTGACGGAGCGGTTCAGACATGGTGAGTTTGGAAAGGGAGGGTGCGAGAGGGCAACCTTGGGGCACGCCCCGGCCAGGAAAGAGCGGCGTGGCTGCGATCGAGTCGGCCACGAGACAGCGAGGACCCTGGTAGACCTGGAGGGCGAACCAGAGATGAAGAGGAGGGAAACGGTGAGCGAGCCCTTGGAGGAGAAGGCGCTCGTAGCTCACCGAGTCGAAGAAACCTCGCAAGTCGAGGAAGAGACTCACGATGTGAGTCTTCTCGAGCTTAGAGTGCTCTGACCTGACAAGGCGCGCCAACGCCGTGTCGAGGCTGGCCTGACCCGGGACAGCGCGGTCCCACGTCGCGGGAGTATGCCGACGTCCAGGCCGCGATATCCTTCCACCTGGCTCGGGCCCACAGCCTCCACAGGCAGGGGAGGAGACTGATGGGGCGCTCCTTGTCGGCCGACTTCGGAAGAAGAGCGACCTGGACACAAGTGAGCTGGAAGGGGAGTAGCACCTCAGCCTCGGCACGGGCGAGGAACTCGAGCGGAGCTCCGCGAGGAGAGGGTGTGAGAAAGGCTGAGGGAACACCGAGCCGTGCCACACACGAGCCCAGTGCTCGTGTCGCTCAAAGGCACGGCGGAGCCCATCACAGTCCTGGAAGGGTCGGTCGAGCACCTGCTCGTGGGACTTGATGGCCCGGAAGAGCGGACCTAGGTGAGAGCCGGTGGCCTCCTCCAACCACTCGGCATATTGGTCTGCCTGCTGGGCAGTTTGAGTGCGCCGAAGCTGGCCAAGAAGGGTGACGCCCTCATCCCGGAGGTCGGCCGAGGAGGCGGTTCCTACAAGGGCTCGGTCACAGAAGGCGCGGACCTCGGAGGGAAGGGAAGTGTCCGAGGCAGACCAAAGGAAAAGCTGCAGGGCCTCCGGCCGGTCAAGCAAGTGGAGCACAGCCGACACCAAGGACGGGAGCTGGCCCTTCCAGGAGAAGGGAACGGAGTGACTCTGGACGAGGGGCTTGTAAAGCAAGGGGACAAAGGCCCCACGTCCTCGATCAGGAAAGCCATGAGATGCCTCAAGGAAGGAGCTCAGCTCCGCAAAGTCAAGGGAGAGCTGATCTGAGGAGGTGAGGCCGAGGAGATTAACCTCAGCTATGGGCGAGGGCCTTGGGGTCGACGGCAGGAAGGGAAGTGGGTCAGGAAAGACCTCACAGAAGGTAGCGAAGCTGAAGAGTGGCCCGCAGAGCACAGTGAGGCTTAAAGGGCACAACCCAGTCCTGAGCAAGTGAAAGGGAGGCGACGACAGGAGCTGAAACAAACAAGTAGTCGATCTCCCGGTCGGTAGCAGCCGTGGGGCTGCCTGATCCCAAGAATCGCCCGTGGGCAACTTCCTCAAGCCTGGCGGCGAGGAGTTCCTGAATGGTGTTGTTCCAATCGCCTGCGACAATCCACACTCCCCGAAGGGAGGGGAGGAAGGCAAGAAGGCGAGCCAAGACTTCGGCATTGACGGGGGAATTAAACCCGGTCCCAGACTGGAGGTAAATGGAAACCAAGGTGAGCTCAAAGCCCGAACACCTCAGTGAAACTGCAAGGAAACCACAGCCCTCCACGGCGTGGGTCAAGACGTGGCGGGGGTTGAGGAAGGAGCGAATAAGCACACCGAAACCCCCCAAAGGACGCTTCTTGTCGCTGAGAAAGGGGGGGGAGGTAAAGAGGCGAAGCCCCCGTTTGGTAGCGGCAATCGCGGCTTCGTGGGCGGCCTCGGCGGTCAGGTGAAGCTCCTGAAGCATGACCCCATGGGCCTCCAGTGAGAAGGCCCAATCCCGAACCTCAGGTCGCCAATGAGTGACATTGGCCGAGAGGAGCCTAAAAGAGGCAGGGTTGTGAGGGGTGTTGTGCTGCAAAGAGAGAGCGTGAGCCATCTGCTTCATGAGGTGCCACTTGGGAGGGGAGGGAGAGTCATCGTGGATGGCATCCAGCGCATGCTCCAGAAACCACTCTTCCGAAGACCCCGGGGAAATTGAGTCCTCAGCCCGGGCGGCGAACTCGACAAGGACGTGCTCAGTTGGAAAGGCCGGGTCTACGGCCTGACTGCACAGATCCACCTGCTCCTGACAAAAGAGACCCTCACAGTGCATTCGGCGGCGCCGGTGACTGGCCTTTTTGGTCTTCCTAAAACCTCGACGGCGCGGGGCGCCGGAGGGAAAGGCGACCAAGCCCAATTGCCACGCCGCCTCTGGATCGGGGTCTGTGACGAAAGCAGGCGGAAAGAAGATCGGCCCCGTAAGAGGAGGAGGCGCCACCAAGGACTCAAGAGATAGAATCCGGGGCTGCCGTCGCGGTTGTCGTGTAACCTCAACCCACTCGGGGGAGGCACAAACACCTGAGGGTGAAGAGGAGTGCCCTGCCCCAAACCGTCGAGAGTAAAGGAAAAACCCGAGCAGGAGGCCGATAGCGCCTCAGAAGAAGAGGGACGCCAGTACCCCTCGCACGGAAGGATTTGAGCCACGGGCAATGGGCCCGACGGCACGGAGGAAAAAGACCTGCCCGAAACCTCAGGCTCCAAAACGGCGGAGCCGAGGGGAGGAGGGGTTCGGGAAGGAAGCCAAAGTAAGGTGGGTGCGGGGTCAGGGGCAGAAAACCCAGGGCCCAGGGAGGACGAGCCTAAAGCGAGAGGCCCCCAAAAATCCGCCCCCGGACCCCTACCACCATCCTACGAGGCATTCGCAGTTGGAGCTTCCGAAGCTGGCGGAGGCAACCGCGAAGGAGGCGGCTGCGAACCTTCTGAGGTGGGGTGAGTCCGACCTGCCGGGCTTCGGGAAGCGCAGGTGGAGCACCACTGGGCTCCTCATTAAGATCTCCATCGGCTTTTGCCTCACCGGCGGGGGGGAGGGGCGAGCCGAATTGGAAGGGTGTCTTGCCAAGACCAGGAGGGGCCTGCACATCAGGAGGTGGCTTGGCCGAGGCTCGGAGAGCTTGGAGATTGGCCTTTTGGTCCTCTCCGAAGAGAGCCCCAAGGCTTCAAGAACCAAGTCGACCTCGCTGTTAGGGACGTGCAGAAGGACGCCTCTCTCATAAGTGTCAGAGCACCGGGCTACATCGGTTTCCTCGGAGATGGCCTCTTGGAGCTCCTGCATGCCACGGAGAAGGTCGTTCACCTTGGTCTTGGTCTTGTTGATCTCCTCCTGGAGCCTGAGCTTCTCCTGTCCCAGCTGCTTGAGCTTCAAGATGCAACGGCGGAGAGCATTACCCGACTCGCGGCCTTCCTTGAGAGGATCCGGGGTGGGCTCAGGGGGAGGGGGAGGCAAGGCCTGGCGGATGCACTCTGGGAGCAGCTCCACATTGTCCTGGAGCAAGGCAAGAAGGTCAGGCTCCATATCGGAGGGAAGTGGGGCCTCGAAGCCGGCATCGCTAAGCTGGGTCCTGGCCTCGTCCGGGAGATCTGACCACACCTTCCGAAGGGACTTGAGGACGCGGGTGTTCCTCTTGGAGCGATCATCCTGGGCCTTCGTTGGGCGAGGGGTGGGAACATCGTCAGGAGAAGAGTCTCCAACCTCAGCCTCGTCGTCGAAAGTGACCTGCCTACGGGAGCGAGGGGCGCGCCTACGAGGGTTCCTGGAGGGTGACTGAGTCGGTGTGGAGGAACCACTACCTGGGCCTGGGGCCTTCGGAAACCGAGCCTGGGTGTTTCCAGAGCTCGTCAACCCACACCCATGCCTTTTGGCAGCGCTTGCACACGTGGTAGGCACGTTGAGGCATACCTCTGCCAAAAGGCGAGGGAAAACCTCAGCCCGAGGCGAGGAGCTAAACAGGCCACTAGCCACACACAAAAGCACAAGCCTCAAGCCGACTGGGAGCAACTGTGCAAGCCCACAGTCAGCGAGGGAGTGCGCGTGAGACAGTGACAGGTCTCGCCCGAGCGTTCCAAGTTTGGCGGCTCAACGAGCGCGCGTGCACAACCTACCGGCCGCCCGCCCCAACCCTTGCCAGCTGTCTGGCCTACGAAACGTACACGGTTGGTTTTGGGGACTGGTCGGGACCTCTAGAAAGTAGGACTCAAGGCTGTGCCACGCCGGCAACTAAGCGTCCACTCGCCAGTTTGAACCGAAACTTGAGCCAGTCACACAAATCAACTCCCCCTCTTGACCGTAAGGTTCCTAGACCCGGTCCTGTCCTCCTTTGGAAGACCACGCCACAGACAAAGTCCTGTGCGTTCGTTCCTCAGTCTGTGCGTCCAGGAGCAGAGGCGGTCCTAAAAGACCCCGAGGCACAGCTCTTCAAGCGTACCTGCCGGCTTGTGAATTCATCCGAGTCGTAGCGTGGCCAAAGCAGTCTCTGCGAAGGCTCTCGGATAGTGTTGTGTAGCTTTAAGGTCAAACGTTTGTGGATGAGCGTGGCTACCATCACATGCAAAGTTTCGAGACATGTGTTGAATAAAATCCGCATCGTTAGAAACAAGTTTCCATGTTTTCTTCACCAAAAGATTATCTTGACCTACCATGCCTGCCATGCACCCATGCACAAGCCCTTCGTGGTGGCTTCTGCTCCGCAGGAAGCTCTTCGTAGACTGCGAGCCCCAATAGCTGCATCTCTGTGGCCACTCGATCACCCAGACACTCACTTGTGGGTGGGTGTTCAGTTTCAACCACGATTTCCAAAGCTTTCTGTGCACTGTGAACAGGGCCTGCAAGTGCTCTTGGTGTTGGGGGTTGTGGTGCAAGTGTTTTCTTTGCCAAGGGCTACCCCCGGTACAAGGCGTGCTGCTCCAAAGAACAACCTTCATTCCCCAGCTCCTGGCAACATCCATGACTGACATGAGCCGCTCCACGGTCTCAGGTGAAGTCCCATCTACTTCCACAGTCACCGGCAGAACAAAGACAGAGTAGTCACACCCCGTGGTCACAAAGCTAGATTGCGGATCGGTACAAAACTCAATGAACAGGGTTCCGTACGAGGTTGGGAGCTCACAGAGGCCCAAGAACCTTTCCCACACAAGTTCAGTGTTGTCAAAGATTGAATTCAACAGCCCTGTAAGGAACACACACGAGCGAACCACCGGCACAGCACAAAGGTCAACCTGGTGGACGTCTTCCAATCCTAAGGTCGTTGTGTGTTTCGAGGTCTGGGGCCTGTTGAGGTTCTTGGTGAGAAGATCACTGACGTTCTCTTCTCCGGCAACCCCGTTAATAACCAACTCGTTCTGATGCACCCTATCCTGAATAAAACAAAGTCTGATGTCTACATGTCGCATCCTCCGAAGGAACCCCTCCATCCCGGCAATCTGGCGAGCAGACGCGCTGTCGGTGTAGATGGCGAGGGGCTTGGCGATCTCGCCCCAAATGTGAGAAGCCAGCTGACCTAAACCGGCAATTTCCTTAGCGGCCTCGGCAATGGCAAAGAGTTCGGCTTCGGCAGAGGATAAGGCAACTACGGTTTGTAGCCTACTGTAGCCCTTTACGCAATACCACAGGGAACCGGCCACTACGTAGATAACCCCACCGCTAGTACTCTTCCTCCCGGTGCTACTTTCACTGCCCCAGTTGCTGTCACAGAACGCCACCAAAGTGGCACCCTCTTCTTCCAAAGTTTCCCCGCTCCCGGCGGGAAAGACCTGATCAAGCAACGGACAACCGACCAACCACCGAAGAAATTTCCTTAGCGCATCCTCGTGCACCATCCTTGGTGCAGCTTGCCCTCTCGAAAGCATAGAGTGGAAATATGTGATGTCAGTGCGCGTCTGGGTCAACCAACCAATCTTCCCAAGGCAGGACCTGAACCTACCCGCGGCTTCTGGAGACAAAGAGGGCGATGGGGATTCAGGGTCCTCAGCATCATATAGAGCCCTAATGTCGGGGGTTGTGGCCACAGGTTTGACCTTAGCCAGGTCCTTCTCGGTCCACCCAAAGGCAGAGAAGACTGAACGCACGTACTCAGGTTTCACCCCAAGGGTGATGTTGTTCCCATCTAGCTTGATAAGCCGTCCTAAAATCATTGCCCCTTTGCACCGAACCAGAACCACAAGGTTTAGATCCACAGGGCTTTTTCGACAGAGTTGGCTTTTAAAGACGTTTACAGACTTTTAAAAACTTTCAAATGCAAGAAAAAACATTCTAAAAACTTTTAGAAGACTTTAAAAGACTTTTAGAAACTTTTAGAAGACTTTTGCAAACTTTAAAAGACTTTTCAAAACTTTAAAAGGCTTTTAAAATATTTAAAAGACTTTTAAAAACATTAAAATACATTTAAAAGCTTTAAAAATACTTTAAAAGACTTTTAAACGCTTTTAAAAGCTTTTACAAACTTTAAAAAGAATTTGAAAGACTTTTAAAGACTTTAAACAACTTTTAAAAATTTTTAAAAACTTTAAAACAAAAAAAACTAATGTTTTTTCCGAGAAGACGAGGATGAAGAAGACCTGGCACAGGGTTTACAGTTTCAGGGTCTTTAGGGTTTGGGGTTAGAAGGCAGAGTGCCATAGTATTAGGGGTTTGAGGGTAATGAAAGGGTTAGGGTTAGAGTTTCAGGGTCTTTATTATATTTAGGGTTTGGGGTTAGAAGGCAGAGTGCCATAGTATTAGGGGTTTGAGGGTAATGAAAGGGTTAGGGTTAGAGTTCAGGGTCTTTATTATATTTAGGGTTTGGGGTTAGAAGGCAGAGTGCCATAGTATTAGGGGTTTGAGGGTAATGAAAGGGTTAGGGTTAGAGTTTCAGGGTCTTTAGTATATTTAGGGTTTGGGGTTAGAAGGCAGAGTGCCATAGTATTAGGGGTTTGAGGGTAATGAAAGGGTTAGGGTTAGAGTTTCAGGGTCTTTAGTATTTAGGGTTTGGGGTTAGCAGGCAGAGTGCCATAGTGTTAGGGGTTGAAAGGGTGAGGGTAATGAAAGGGTTAGGGTTAGAGTTTCAGGGTCTTTAGTATATTTAGGGTTTGGGGTTAGAAGGCAGAGTGCCATAGTATTAGGGGTTTGAGGGTAATGAAAGGGTTAGGGTTAGAGTTTCAGGGTCTTTAGTATATTTAGGGTTTGGGGTTAGGAGGCAGAGTGCCATAGTGTTAGGGTTTGAGGGTAATGAAAGGGTTAGGGTTAGAGTTTCAGGGTCTTTAGTATTTAGGGTTTGGGGCTAGAAGGCAGAGTGCCATAGTTTTAGGGTTTGATAGTATTAGGGATGCACAAATCGCGTGAAGTGGCTACGAACTGCTGGATGTTGCGCTTTTCTGCGTTGACCACACTGTCAAGCGAATCACGTGCAGGCGAAGCAGGGTACAGCTGGGTGACGCGACAACGTCTGGCACTCTGCCTTCCCAGCTGCTGGCACTCTGCCTTCCCGCCTCAAGATCCATTAATTATTGCCATTTGGAATTCCCCCAACTTTGCACGAAGCTGGTCGGTCAAAGGTATTGCTCCAGCATCAAGGTCAGGAAGTTCCCCCGGACCACCGAGACGGATGGCAACAAGTGAGAGGTGTTTCATCTGAAGGACAAACTGCCGTTGTTGTTCATCTTCGTCGTTCCAAACATAAACAAAATCACAAACGAGAGAAACGCGCGGCAACTCCAGCGGTTCTTCTCCTTCACCCACCTGATAACACTTCGGGAAGGGGCCTTGGTACCGTCGAAGAAGCCTGAGGCCTCCGGTAATGCGGGAGCCAATACGTGGCCAGTAACGCAGGTAGCGAACCATGATTTCCCAAGGCACGTCGTCATAAACTTCCTTCCATCTCTCAGCTGGTCTCCACTGGACAGGCGCTTTGGCCAATTTTTCGCAAGCGGTTTTGATCAAGATTGGGGAGAGCTCGCCTCTGAAGAAACACTCTCCTCGTTCGATCGGGGCGAAATGCATTGCTCTGGACGGCTACTGTTCAGTCACAAGCACGCACGGCTTCAAACCACATGTGCTAGTTTGTGCGGCTTCCGGGTTGTGGCACTCGAAATGATTGTCCATGTGCTTGCACGTGACAAATTCCACATGTGTGAAAATGCGAACATGCTTTCGCAATCCGTCTTCCCCAAGCAGAAACACACAGTCTCTCGGACGCATTCCAATCTAGCAGGACCCGCTGCCATCAATGCAAGCACACAGACAGACACACAACTTTTCTTTGCAGCGCAGGATGAATCCTCTAGTTGTTGCCAGGCCTCCTGGTCGGGCCACAACAGGGCCTATGGTCAATGACGTGTTGTCTGGCCTGCGCTTCGGTCATCTTGGAAGCCACACGTCCCCAGTGATAGGGTACGAGGTGGCTCCACTCGCCTTCAATGCCAGACACACATGGGTTCATGTAATGTGACACAACACACAGCAGATCAGGCAACCACATCGAAGCTATAACAAATGTTCCGAATCTTTCCAAGAGACCGCCGTCTGTCACACGAACTCGGAGAAACCATTTTGCTTTGTCAGGCCACCAGGATTCGGGTCGTACTTCATCTCACCAGCGATCTTGGGACACTCCGGGCATTGAACAGGTGTCCATACCCCTTGGTAGTCAACACGGTTCGGCCGCCGCTGATGTTGGGGGCCACGGACTGCAACCTCCCGTGGCTCGAGTGCTGGGATAGGCACTGCAGGCACCTCCGGCATCTCAGCAGGAGGGGCTGGCACTCTGCCTTCCTCGGGCTCCACGTGATCATCAGGCTCTGGGACAGGGATTGCAGCAGGCACCTCCGGCATCTCAGCAGGAGGGGCTGGCACTCTGCCTTCCGCGGCCTCCACGTGATTA